TGTTTACTGTTCACAGAGGGCTGAGTGATACTAGCAATCACAGCATTGTAAGAGGGGGACAGTTGAACACGGAGGCCTCCACCCCTGTTTAATGATGGACGATTTCTTTTCACAAAGATGGCCTCCTTTACTCCTCTCAAACCATCGTTCCTCTCTATCCAGGATGTGAACATCTTCATCCCTGAAAGAGTGACTGCTGGCCTGGAGATGAGTGTAGACCACAGAGTCCTGGCCTGATGATGTTGATCTTCTGTGCTGGTCCATCCTTTTGGCCAGTGGCTGTTTAGTTTCCCCGATGTAAGACTGATCACCCTCCTGACACTGAACAGCATACACAAAATTACGTTGTTTGTGCCGGGGGACTGGATCTTTGGGATGAACGAGTCTGGAAACCAGCCATGTTTGTTCACACTTTGGAGTAAGCTGTTTGAGGGAAGAATCCATTTTCTGTTGTGTGTTTCCTTGACTGATGAATCCTTCCGTATAGAAGGTGAAATGTTTCAGCAAAAAAAAAAAAAAGAAACTGTCCAGATAACCTGACTGAAAATTGTTGGATTGTATACCTAGATTTTTGAGCATGGACTTTTTTTTGGTTTTGAACCAGTATGACATGACTGTCGACAAGGAAGAGGGCCAGCACCGGAGGAGGTGGCGTGCCAAAGACACCATCTTAGCACCAGCATAACTGGTTTATTCCATTTTGGAGTAAGATGTTTGGGGGAATGTTGGATTTAATATTTTATACCTTTTATAATTCCTATCAAGCACTCAAATGTCGTGTCATATAAAGTGTGTGTGTGTCTTTCTTCCACTGGTTGAACTATGTTTATAGAAAGTGTTTGCTAAGTCTAACTAGTTGACCTTTAAATATAATCTCATAATAGCTAAAGATAATTTTACAAGTTCACATTTGATAAATTACAAGCAATCAAATCAGGACAGAGAGCAGACTGATTAACATAAATAAAGCTAGAACAGTATAGTTTGACTAAGTAAAATCAAATTAAGAGTATAACCAAGTTAGATAATATAATTATTCCTAGAAATAAACAACTATTTCAAATCAGTGTTATCACTAAGGTATAATCATGTTAAACAAACAGTGTTAACGGTTTTAAACGCAGACACACAAACTAAGATGATTCTGCCTTAAAACAGAATCACCAGACCTCCAACAGATAGTGAATTAACACCCAGGAGATAGGTAATAATTAATAGTTATTAATTATTACGCATAAACAATTTAGACACGAATCATTTTATATCCCTAAATTATAATAGCAAGTTAAACTTTAAACAAAAGCCGAACCAAAACTTATCTGAAATATAGACGTAACGTCCTTGAGGGGGCGGGCTACGTCGTAACCATAGCTACAGAAGCTGAACCAATCAGGAAGCTAGCCTTCTCAGACGGGGATAAAAGGCCGGGAATGACGCACGCGCACTGAGCATTTTCAGAGAGGCACGCTGGAGGCGGTTTGGTCTTAATGCTCCATTTATATGCATATATCTTATTAATGTAACTGTTTGTCTCTGAATATCTGTAACCCATGTTGTGTCAAATAAATCTTTTATACGAAGGGCGACGCCTCCGCCGTTTTGAACACGACGTGGTATTCTATCCACAACAGGAAGAATCTGTTTTGTGTTGTGTTTCCTTGACTGATAAAGTCTTCCGGATGGAAGGTGAAATGTTTCAGAAAAAAAAAAAGAAATTGTCCAGATGACCTTACTGAAAATTGTTGGATTGAATACCTGGATTATTGAGCATGGACTTTTTTGGTTTTGAATCAGTATGATATGACTGTCGACGAGGAAGAGGGCCAGCACCGGAGGAGGTGGCGTGCCAAAGACACCATCTTAGCACCAGCATAACTGGTTTATTCCATTTTGGAGTAAGTTGTTTGGGGGAAGAATCCGTTTGTGTTGTTTCCTTGACTGATGAAGCCTTCCGGATAGAAGGTGAAATGTTTCAGCAAAAAAAAAAAAAAAAAGAAACTGTCCA